GGTTCTGTTTACTTCAGTGTGGCCTGTGATCCTCATCAGTGGCCTGAGAGAGCATATGGGAATTTGTTCTTTAGCAGGTTCCTCTAGCAGTGAACTTTCAGACTGTGTTTTCTTCATGGAGCAAGTGTTTCTGTTGCTATCTTGACGCATGAGAGAAACCTGAAGCTGGCCTGTTTCTTCTGTGCCTTGCCTGGCCTTGTTAATAGGTTACAGCATTCCACTTGTTAGTACCAGTGACACAGGAGAAACTTTTACTATTATGCTATTTGGTAATGATAAAGACAACAGAAAAAGTCTTTTTATGGTAGTTGGGTCCTCAAAACAGCTCTTCATGCTTGGTGATAAGGAGCCACAAGTTGGCTGTCAAACAGAGGTACATTAGCTTGTTATCTACAGAGCCAATACTGCCTCTTAAATTCCCTCCCCGTGCCAGGAACCTATCTGAAGTGAAAGCTTGCAGAGCTGTCCTCATAAGTACAAGTAGAGTTAACCCTCCTTTTGTAGAATAAAAATTTCACGTTAAGTTTTGAACAAAGGCATATTTTTTCCTCTGTAGATTAAAAACTGTTGAAAGAGATATATACGTGGTAATTGCATAATAAGCATTTTAGTATACTAAAAAGAACAAGACTGAATTAAGATATACAACAACTAGAAGTATCCAGAGATTTAAGGCTAGAATAAATTACTAATTTCATGATAAGCTCTATGCATAGTCACCTACTGTATTTATTCTGTTTCTAGAGCTGTGTTCATTATAGGAGCTCAAAGTATTCCATTATTCTGCTATTCACTGCTGATAGCAACTTGCAGAGATTTGGTAAATAGAACTTGCTGCCATGGATGGGGAGGATAAATCCCTTAGAGTTCTGAGCAACAGGACCTTTTATGGCTAAGTACACATAAATGTCCACGTGGTTGGTAGGACTTCTAGCACTAAGTGCCGTTGAGCAGATGGGGAAGTGCATGCCATATGCTCCTCTCTAGTGATTGTGGGTTTGTTGTTGTTGTTTTGCAGTACTAGGGCTTGAACTCTAGACCTTGCACTTGTTAGGCAAATGCTCTACCACTTGAGCCAAACCTCCAGCCCTTGGTTTGTTTTTTTGTTTTTTTGAGATAAGGTCTCACTGTGTAGCTTGGGCCCACCTCAAACTTGCCAGCCTCTCTACTGCTGGGATTCTAGACATGCATCAGCACATCTGGGTTAGTAATTGCATTTTAATGAGTTTCAGGAATTGTGTATAGAATTCCTTGCACATGCCAAGTAATTGGAGAAGCTAACATAATCCATACTAATGATTGCTTATGACTTTCTTTACACATGTAAAATTTTAAAAATCATATTGCATAAAGTGAAATTTTGAAGTAATTTGGCTTCCAAGAAACTTCAGAAAAAAGTTCTCAAATCTTAATGTATTGTGTTTACATTGTACTTTCAGAGAAAAAGGAACAAAATAAACATCCGTAATTATTGTGAATAGCATTTTAAAGGAACTGATATCTGTTGTGAACTAATTTAAAACATATCATGAATCTGGTTTAAATAATCATTTGTTGAACTTACATAGAGCTAGTTTTTTAATCAAACTTTATTTCCTAATTAAGCTCTGTTAGTTAGGGATATTTGGAAATTTTTAACTTTCTACTATTTCTCTAAGGTTTACTGGAAATCCAACAAGTTCTGAAGCTATTTAAGATGTTAAACCCAGTAACTCTGCCTTAAATTAAGACCCATCCAGATTTTTTTTAATTAGACATTCTGAAAGTATATTACTAGTCCATAGATCTCTCAAGCCCTTGTTTTTTAATTTATTCTTTTAAGTACCTGACATGTTATTTTATGATGACTTTGTTTTAAAAAGTTAGAAGTCAGAAGGATGCCCACTATCTCCACTCCTATTCAACATAGTACTGGAATTCCTAGCCAGAGCAATTAGGCAAGAAGAAGGAATAAAAGGAATACAAATAGGTAAAGAAACTGGTCAAATATCCCTATTTGCAGATGACATGATCCTATACCTTAAAGACCCAAAAACTCTACTCAGAAGCTTCTAGACATCATCAATAGCATATAGCAAGGTAGCAGGATAAAATCAACATAGAAAAATCATTAGCATTTCTATACACTAACAATGAGCAAACGGAAAAGAATGTATGAAAAACATTCCATTTACAATAGCCTCAAAAAAAATCAAATACCTAGGTGTAAACCTAACAAAAGATGTGAAAGACCTCTACAAGGAAAACTATACACTTCTGAAGAAGAGATTGAGGAAGACTATAGAAAGTGGAGAGATCTCCCATGCTCATGGATTGGTAGAATCAACATAGTAAAAATGTCTATACTCCCAAAGTAATCTACATGTTTAATGCAATTCCCATCAAAATTCCAATGACATTCATTAAAGAGATTGAAAAATCTACTGTTGAAATTTATATGGAAACACAGAGGCCACGAATAGCCAAGGCAATACTCAGTCAAAAGAACAATGCAGGAGTATCACAATACCTGACTTCAAACTATATTACAAAGCAATAACAATAAAAACAGCATGGTACTGGCACAAAAACAGACATGAAGACCAGTGGAACAGAATAGAGGATCCAGATATGAAGCCACACAACTATAAGCAACTTATCTTTGACAAGGGAGCTAAAAATATACGATGGAGAAATAGCAGCCTCTTCAACAAAAACTGCTGGGAAAACTGGTTAGCAGTCTGCAAAAAACTGAAACTAGATCCATGTATATCACCCTATACCAAGATTAACTCAAAATGGATCAAGGATCTTAATATCAGACCCAAACTCTTAAGTTGATACAAGAAAGAGTAGGAATACTCTGGAGTTAGTAGGTATAGGTAAGAACTTTCTCAATGAAACCCCAGCAGCACAGCAACTAAGAGATAGCATAGATAAATGGGACCTCATAAAACTAAAAAGCTTCTGTTCATCAAAAGAAATGGTCTCTAAACTGAAGAGAACACCCACAGAGTGGGAGAAAATATTTGCCAACTATACATCAGACAAAGGACTGATAACCAGAATATACAGGGAACTTAAAAAACTAAATTCTCCCAAACTAATGAACCAATAAAGAATGGGCAGTGAACTAAACAGACTTTCTCAAAAGAAGAAATTCAAATGGCCAAAACACATGAAAAAATGCTCACCATCTCTAGCAATAAAGGAAATGCAAATTAAAACCACACTAAGATTCCACCTCACCCCTGTTAGAATAGCCATTATCAGCAACACCACCAACAACAGGTGTTGGCAAGGATGCGGGGAAAAAGGAACCCTCTTACACTTGTTGGTGGGAATGTAGACTAGTACAACCACTCTGGAAAAAAATTTGGAGGCTACTTAAAAAGCTGGACATCGATCTACCATTTGATCCAGCAATACCACTCTTGGGGATATACCCAAAAGACTGTTACTCCAGAGGCACCTGCACATCCATGTTTATTGCGGCACTATTCACAATAGCCAAGTTATGGAAACAGCCAAGATGCCCCACCACTGACGAATGGATTAAGAAAATGTGGTATCTATACACAATGGAATTTTATGCAGCCATGAAGAAGAACGAAATGTTATCATTCGCTGGTAAATGGATGGAATTGGAGAACATCATTCTGAGTGAGGTTAGCCTGGCCAAAAGACCAAAAATCGTATGTTCTCCCTCATATGTGGACATTAGATCAAGGGCAAACACAACAAGGGGATTGGACTATGAGCACATGATAAAAGCGAGAGCACACAAGGGAGGGGTGAGGATAGGTAAGACACCTAAAAAACTAGATAGCATTTGTTGCCCTTAACGCAGAGAAACTAAAGCAGATACCTTAAAGCAACTGAGGCCAATAGGAAAAGGGGAACAGGTACTAGAGAAAAGGTTAGATCAAAAAGAATTAACCTAGAAGGTAACACCCACGCACAGGAAATCAATGTGAGTCAATGCCCTGTATAGCTATCCTTATCTCATCCAGCAAAACCCCTTGTTCCTTCCTATTATTGCTTATACTCTCTCTACAACAAAATTAGAAATAAGGGCAAAATAGTTTCTGCTGGGTATTGAGGGGGCGGAGTGGGTGGTAAGGGAGGGGGTGGGGGCAGGGGAGAGAAATGAACCAAACCTTGTATGCACATATGAATAATAAAAGAAAAATGAAAAAAAAAGTTAGAAGTCAGAAAATCAGTGGCCTACTAAATTTTTGCCCCCAAAGTAAGAAAAAAAAAAAGTCAGTAGTATGGCCCAGAGGATACTTTAATAACACTCAAGAAAATTGTCTAAAAAGTCAATTGTTCTATTCAGTGAATAAAACAAACCATGAAGGAGTTCTATTGAAAGAGCCAGCAAAAAGGGTAGGGGATTCATTCTGATATATCTGACTATACATTTTTTAAATATGTGAGGTCGCTAATAATCTGTGCATTAATTGTAGGGAAGAGTCATTACATAAATGTTATATGTAAACCTTTGTATTTCAAACTTTGTAGAAAAATGATTATATTCAAGAACCAATTAGGGGGTGTTTGGGCTAATTTCTGGTACACAGGATAAGTTATCAGAAAGGAATGTCAGCAGATGAAGTTGCTGAAATGCTCAGTGAACTCTTGATTTCTTTAAGCATCATTTTGAGAGATTTGTAATTCAGTTCTTATACTCATTGGTCTACTAGATAAATTGATCAGCCGCAGTCAGATTCCAGTAGTGACTATCAGACATTGAGTAATTTAGTATTCTCTAAGAAGTTTTAAAAGGAAGAATCCAAATAAGTATTTCTTTTCTTTTAACATACAGTGGGATAATTAATTTTGCTCATATCTTATGTTTATTTTACTTGAAGAACTGGAGTACATTTGTGGTCATTTAAAAATCATTTCAGTGGCTCTTCTATAATTCACTTCTTTCAATCTGTGCTCTTAATAATTTTACAGAAAAACTCATGGAAAGTTAGTATTATTTGTGTGTGAATTTTCCAATTGTATTTCAGACTTTAAGAAAAAAAGGCCTCAATGGTTGTGAGAGCCCTGATGCTGACGATTACTTTGAGCACAGTCCACTGTCGGAGGACAGACTCAGCAAACTAAATGAAGATAGTGACTTTATTTTCAAACGAGGCCCTGTAAGTACTCACTTTACCTCCCCTGTTTATTTTGTTGATCCTTTCTGTTAACTTCACCATTTAGGCTCTGAACAAGAAGGAGCACAGAGGGTGCGACAGCCCGGACCCTGATGCTTCATATGTGCTAACCCCACACACAGAAGAGAAGTACAAAAAAATCAACGAAGAGTTTGATAATATGATGCGGAATCATAACATCGCAGTGAGTACGAAAGTATGGTTTGTGCTTTTATCTTGTGCATGAAGAACTTGACCACACATCTTACTTATTTTTAAAATGAGTTGATGACAGCAAAAACTCGGAGGGGAAAAGAAGACATTTTATTAATTCCGGGGGGGGGTGGATTATAGAACTTTAAAATTTCTGAGATCTTATAATAGTTCGTGTTCAGTATCTTAAATAAAGAAGACATTGTTATCCACGCTCTGCCGTTTACTCTCCTTCCTGTCTTCTGATAGGGCACCCAAATATCCTGAATTATAATTTATCTATAAAGTGAATGAGTTGGCTCACACAATTTTTAAGGTCCTTTCCAGTTCTAAAATCCTATGATATTTAATAAAAAGTACATGGTTTTCCTCTCTCTTCCATGACTTTATATAAAAATACATATTCAGATAAATCTTGAGAATGCCAAGTTTAAAGTAGTTGGATTTGTTATAGAATTTTGTGTTTCTAGGTTATTTTCAGTTATTTTGTATAGTTACTTCAACATTCATAGAACTGAGCTTTCCATTTGGCTCTTTATAAATGTCTCAAAGCACTTAACAGTGATACCACCAAATAGCTACCTTTCTTGTGCTGTTGGTATGGAGGAAGAGGCCTGGATTAATTTTTATTTAAGGAAAAAATGTTCTTAAGCTGGTTTCAAAACAAGTAGTCACTGTAAAAAAAAAAATTAACATCTGTACATCTAAGCCTAGTGCAACAGTATTTTTCTAATTTATGCTTCTGGACTTAATAGTTCTTAAAAGACTTTGGTTTCCTGGAAGCTCCCTTGGCAAGTGCTGTGATTCTAGGTCTGATTTTATAATGCTGTATGTGTAAGTGTAGCCTTCAGGAAGAAAATTGGTTCCCATAGAGATTATTTAGTTCATTGTCAGAGTTAATACTGTAAAACTGTGCCCTAACGAATGCACCATGTGTCATTTCTTCAAAGTAGGAAAATAACTTTAACAAGGTACTTCTGAGCTAGCACCATTGTTCTTAAAATACTGACAAACAGAATAAAACTGTTCTGACTTCACAGGGATGTTGTTGTTCCTGCAAGTAACATTAAGCTACAAAAATACTATACAAATAAAATTATTTTACTTTTGAAAAAAATTTCTCATCTGTCGTTTTAAATTTGTTGATAAATTATTATAATTTTTCTTCCTGAAATTAACTATTGAATAGAATACATAAATGAGTTATATTCTCCTAATTCCAAATTAGAGTGTTACCTTACTTTGAAAATCACTGTTTTAAAATGAAGGTAGGGCAAGGGGTTCCCCCTCCCCATCACTTTAAATTGTCCATCATAGTCAACAAATATATTATAAATAGTCCCTGAAGGAAATACCAGAGGAAAATAGGAAATAATTCTTTTAAGGGGAGTGGGAGGTAGAACATTTTGGCAGGATGGAAGATAGCATCTGTAATATTTATCATTTAATTTTCATACAATTTAAAGAAGTAACTAAAAATTCAGTCCTTATTTGTCAGTAGTTAGTTTTGTTGCTTTGATTAAATTTCTTTATAGGTTTCATTGCAATCAGATTATATTGTGTTAAATATATAATTACTTGTTTTTTCTTTAGTCTTGCTTGTTAAGAATGTTAATCAGGCTGGGCCTATTCATAAGTTCCCACAGTGGATGTATTAATAAAATGTGTATACACTTTCCCACTTTGGTTACAGTTGTAATCTCTCAATAGAAATGAAATGTTACTAAATTGGTTTAATTTGAAGTGCTAATTTATGCTTACTTGGTGACAGTGATATATTTTGTAATGTCTAAATTCAACAATACTACCTTAATACCAGGTTTTGACCTCTAATTTTCATTGCTATGAATATTTGAAATACAGAATGCATACATTATTTTAGTGTGTATGTATTAATGTATAAAACTCTGAAAATGAAAAGTCATCACAAATATATGATAAGTTATTTAATGTAGATGAAATTAAGTTTTCTCCTCCTTGTTCTTTCTTTACAGCCTGGTTTGCCACCTCAAAACTTCTCGATGTCTGTCACAGTCCCTGTGACCAGTCCTAATGCTTTGTCCTACACTAACCCAGGGAGTTCACTTGTATCGCCATCTTTGGCAGCCAGCTCAGCGTTAGCAGATTCAAGCATGCTGTCTCCACCCCCAGCCACATTGCATAGAAATGTGTCCCCCGGAGCTCCTCAGAGACCACCAAGTACTGGGAATGCAAGTATGTCGTGATGTCTATTCTGATCGTTCTTCATCAGAGCAGATGGAAACTAACTGCTAACCTAGAAGTTTATTAGATTGTCTGGGTGAGCAAGAGTCACTGCTATGTACATTTGTTTTTAAATCTGTGGGGCTAGCATTAGTTCTTTACTACTGTAGAGAACCTGTCCTCTGTAAGCTTTCCTCAGCATGGGAAAGCTATAACTTGACAGGCAGAAATTTTAATTAGGGTACCATGAATAAAAATTTAAAGTTGAAGATGAACCATCTTGTTAGTAATTTGGAGAGCAGACTTACCTGATTGGAGTTAGTATATTTTGTGCCTCTCCTCCTGCCTGAATTAGTTCAGTAATTCAGCAAAAATTTGCAGTGCATTTGCTGCTTTAGTCTGAGATGCAATGTCTCCTCTCCCTTAAGTCCTGTGCTAGGTCCACCATCTGAACCGTGCCCATTCTTATTAGTATGCATTATTTGTATTGATGCACAGGAAGGCAGACACATCAGAGTTTAAAAGGCAAATGTGTGTGTGAGTGCGTGTTGTGTGTGTGTGTGTGTGTGTGTGTATGTGTGTATTTGTAACTTTATCAGATTTAACATTAAGAGCAACTTCAAACTGGGCTACTTTTTATTTTTGATTTTTAGGAATGGAATGATAGTTATCCTCCGTCAGTTCATAGTGAAATAAGGAGTCTAAATTCATATTCATTCTGTGCCCTCTCTTCTCTATAACGTTGTTAGGTGGGATGTTGAGCACGACAGACCTCACAGTGCCAAATGGAGCTGGAAATAGCCCCGTGGGTGAGTGAATTCCTATTGTTTAACTTTGTAGGCATCTACCCTATCTAGATGTAAGGAATATTATCCCTGAAACAAGACCTTCAACCTCCTGAGGGATACTTTACAGCTTAACATTTTTTCGTGCTTTATCCCTTACACCACAACCATATATTCAGTTACTCATTCATTCTGTGAGTATTTGATGAGTGTCTCCTTCATACCGCACATTGCTCTTTTCTAAAGAGCCTTTAATGACTTAATGCATCATTTACATCAAGATAGTTTCTTAAAGAGACACTTTGTAGATCTTCCATCCTCACCAAAGTTAGACACCAAAGATGTAGCAAGCTTCTATATCTTACAACAGCATAAGATTTTTTCAGAGAGATTAGAATGCAAAGAAGTATGGGCCTACTTCTTAAATACAAAGAAAACTGAGAGATTTCTCTCAGGGGTCCCCTGTGGTGATCACACTTTATCATACTGGTAGCCAAATAGATTTTTTTGCTTTGGTGCCACTCCTGAGATGAGTAGTAGTTTAAACACATCATAAATGTGTCTGTCCAGCCCTCCTTTGCTGGTAAAGATAGATTACGATCTCAGTGTTGCAAAAGCATAACCTACATGTCAAAGAAATTGCAAGAATAATATAGCCCCTTGGATTTTCATCACGTTAAGTCATCTTGTTAATTTATGATAATCACAGTTACCATTGTTATCTGAAAGCAAAGGCAGGAATTCCCTGCTTGCTTAGATAGTATGTGTCCTGGAGACAGCTAAAAACAGATCACTTACAGGAAACACTGTGAAATATTCATTTCTACTTTAAGAAAAGTACATGATTGAATGACTTAATTAAAAAATAATGAAAGAAATAAACAGACATATTGAGTGAGACATGTTATAAAATATATAGCAACTTTAATACAGGCATTAGTGCTTAAATATATGTGCAGTGTATTAAGAACCTGCTGTTAGGATCTTATTTAACAGGTAACAATTAAATATGGGAAAATATATGATGGTCTTACTACCAGTTTTACATTAGAATGGCTACTCTTGTAAATAATATTTATCATTTCTTTTCAACTCAATTTTGTTTGCGTCCTACATACTCTTATGTACACTTTCCCCTCTGCTTCTACTCTCCCCAACAAAACAGTTAAGTTTAGGACCTGCCAAGAACTGGGAGAGCATAGTATATTCCTCTCACACTGGCTTGAGATACCAAAAGACTGTAACCTAGAAATAAAGTGAATCAAAGGTAAATAGTCCCTCTTAGTAGCTGTATCACATATCTGCATCATCCCACTTGTTGAAATTAGATTGTGGTAATTCTATTGTTAGGGGCCCCAGGATGTCTAAAAAAGCAAATAATGTCTAGAATTTTTAAAAATGAGAATAAAACACTACCTCAGTCTTTGTTATTTCTACTTTGCATGTAAGCAAAACTAACTAGACAAATTCAGAAGCAGTCTCCTGGATTTGACATTACTAGACACAGACTTTGAGTTTGGCCTAGCATAACAATGCTTACTGTGTTAAAGGACATAAAAGACTAGGTTGAGAATTTGTCAGAGAACTGGAAACTTTAAAAATGGACATTTTATAGCTTTACAGAAGGACTTCCTAACATATGGGACAAGGCAGGTAAAAGAATTGGTAAACTAAAAAGTAAAACAGCAGAAAATAATCCAGTTGAAGACACTACAGGATGGAAAATGAAATAGAAGGATAAGGCCCAGAGGATACAATGAGAATGTCTACCATATGATGATTGGAATCCCAGGAGGCAAAGAGAGAGAAAATTGTAGAAGTAGTATTTAAAGCATAATCACAGAATTTCCCAAAACTGACAAAAAGCAACAAGCTGCAGATTCAAAAAAAAACCCCTACAAAACCCGTGTGGGATACAAATAGTGCTGTGCTTTATGAGAAATTTAAACCTTTAAGAGCAGAAGGCTGAGCTGGGCATGGTGGTACGTACCTGTAATCCCAGTCCTTAGGAGTCTGACCTGGGTTCATTCCCTACTGCCACCCAATTACTGAAATAGAAAAAACAGCCATAATATAAATTGCATTAACAAAACAAAAACTGGTTATTTAAAAAGACTAATAAAATGGGACCAGGCACGGTGGCTAATGTCTGTAATCCCATGTACTTGGGAGGTGGAGATCAGGAGGATCACAGTTGAAGGCCAGCCCAGGCAAAAAGTTAGCGAGACCCTGTCTCAACCAATAAGCTGGATAATGGTGTGGGTGCCTGTGACTCCAGCTATGAGGGAGACCGCAGGTAAGAAGGTCATGGTCTGAAGATCATGATCTCATGCAAAAGCATGAGACCCTACCTGAAAAATAACTAAAGCAAAAAAGAGCTGGGAATGTGGGTCAAGTGGTAGAATGCCTGAATAGCAAGTGCGAAGCCCTGAGTTCAAACTCCAGTGCCATAAAAAAAGGCTAATGAAATGAAATTCAAAATATTTTCTAATTTCCATTATAACTTCTTTGATCTTTAAGTTATTTAGACATCTACATCCTAATTCCAAATGCATGGGATACTGAAAGCAGAGGCCTCCTTGAGTTTTTAAAGCATTGGACAACCTCAGAATAGTGAAAGACCTTTTAATACTGGAATTTGAACTCAGGATTTCATGCTTGCAAGGCAGACACTCTTCCACTTGAGCCATGCATTAAGCCCTTTTTCCTCTGGTTATTTTGGAGATACGGTCTCGTTTTTTGCCCGGGCTGACCTGAATGGTGATCCTTCTATTTTATGCTTCTTGCTGTTGCTGGGATGACAGGCATATGCCACCATGCCCAGCTTTTTTCCATTAAGATGGGGTCTTGCGAACTTTTTAGCCTAGACTGGTCTAGAACTGCCATCCTTCCAATCTCATCCTGGGATGACGGACATACACCCAGCTATGGGTTAGGATGAAATCTTGAGAACTCGCTGCTTTGGTTGGTGGCCTCAAACCACGATCCTCTCAATCTCAGCCTCACAAGCAGCTAGGATTACAGGCTTGATATAGTGACATTTGGCTTAAAAAAAAGACTTCTTAATAAGAAACCAAAGTCTTAATTTTATAAAGGAAATATAGACTGATTTTCCTGTATTAAAATTAGGAAATTTTGTTTATCAAAAATACCATAAAGAGATTGAAAAGTCAAGGCACTGAGAGAATATACATAGCATGTGTATAACCAAATAAATGCTTTTTTAAATGAAGAAAGTCTACAAATCAACAAGAAAAAGAGAACTGAGTTTTAAAAAATAGCGCATGAGAAAACTGACCCTTTACAAAGGCAACTGTCCAGGTATGTAATACATGTGAATAGATGCTTAGCTCAATAATCATGGAAATGCAGGAACAGCACCACAGAGAGAGAGCACTGCCTCCCTTACAGTGAATAACATGAAGTGGAGGATACCAAGGCCTGAGAAGCTTACAGAAAACGCAAGCTTTCATACAATGACAATGCAGTCATTTAGCATCATGTACTAAAGTTAGACATGCATACTCTGTGACCTAACTTTTCACTTTTCCTTATAAACTATAGAAAAGTGTGTGTGTGTGCACCACAAGTACCAAGAGGTATATAAAAGAATGCAAGAATGTACACCAAAGGCTGAGGATGTAGTTTCATAGTAAAGTGCTTGCTTAGCATGTGTGAGGTTCTGGGTTCAATCACCAACTAAATTAAACGCATACTGAAAAGTAAAAAGGTTCACAGCATTTTGTTATAGCCCACATCTGCATTAACCCAGATTTCTATCAACAATAGAATAAATAAATAAATAATAGCACATTTTATATGAAGCAATACTATACTGTAATGAGGAAGCCACAGCAGTTCTCAACAATGTGGGTGAATTTCATCAAACTAATACAAGAAAGATAGATGCAGCTACTAAATTGAGTCTATCTGTATAAATTGTGAAAATCAAGCAAGTAACACTATGGTGTTGGTGCGTGTGTAGGAGTTAACACTTATAAGGAAAACCAAGAAATTACTGTTAAAGTCTCCATCACGTGAGTGTTGGGTGGGACTATTGGTAGGGACTGTTTCTTCATAATTCTTCTGGGGTTCTGGTAATATTTTTTTTCTTGATCTGAATGGTGGTAACATGGATCTTCATTTTATGATAAATCCGTGAAGTGTAAGTTTTTGTTTTGTGCATTTTCTATGTGTTGTATTAATACTTAAGACTTTAAAAATAAGTGTAACGCACTAGATATAAAAAGAAACTGTACCACTTTGGCGGGGGTCAGTACTGGAGTTTGAACTCAGGGTTTCACACTTGCTAGGCAGGTGCTCTACCACTTGAATCAAACCTCCAGCCCTTTTTGCTCTGGTTATTTTGGAGATAGGGTTTCACTTTTTTCCTCAGTTGGCCTGTACTGTGATCCTCCTATTTCATGCTTCGTATCATCACTGAGATGACAGGTACACTACACCAAGCCTAGCCATTTTCTGTTGAGATGGGCTTTCCTGAACTTTTTTGCCCAGGCTAAACTTAGATCCTCATAATCTCAGCCTCCTGTGTAGCTTGGATGACCGGCATGCACCACCACACCCAGGTGTTGGTTGATAGGGAGTCTTATGAACTCCCTGCTTGGGCTGGCCTTGAACCACAATCCTCTTGAAGCCTCATGGGTAAGTAGAATTACAGGTGTAAGCTATCAGCACCCAGCTTGGAGGTACTTTTAAAATTCTAAAATCTAAAGAGAAAAACCTTCATGTATGGACACACAGAAAGACAGTGCAGCCTTCTGAGTATTCAGACATCATTTTCTACATGTGGCACCTGGAACATCAGCACCCATCTAGAGGTAATGAGCAAGTTAGCTTAGAATAGCCAGCCAACATGCCAAGGATGGCAAGGTATAAATCTGGAAAGGCCCTCAATGTTGAGCTTCTAACACAGCGAGCCTAGAATGTTCTTCCTCCAGTCTAATGTGAATTCAATCATTTTCCTCATTTTGAGAGTAAAAGTAAGATAAAAATAAAAGAAACCG